AATTAATGATGATGTCATCTTTCCTTTTCCAATCGTTATTTATCTCATTTAAGTTTTATATCTTACTGGATTGTCTAGAACTTCACCAACAATAGTAAATACTGTGGATCATGCTAGCCTTGCCTTGGCCCTGGAAGTAGCAAGAACCTCTCCATTGTCTCATTCAAATACAGCATTCTGAAATAATTTATTGCATGTTTCTTTCAGGCACTGGGCTAGGATATAGTGACTCAGTAGTTCCTGCCTTTGGAACTCAAATCATCTAGCAGGGGAAATGCATTAATCACATAACCACACACACGTATGTGAAATTACAGCCAGTTGTAGCGGCTAAAAAGGAAGCATGTGGGGCTATGAAGGCAGAGGAGAGGAGGGACTTGGCCTAATTAAGGAAGTTAGGAAAAGCCTCTCTAGAGACAATTATACTCATACTTAAATCTGAAAGATGAGGAATCAATTAAGCAAAAGAGGCATTGGAAAGGGCGGCACAAAGAGAATTTCCAGCAGAACAAAGAGCTTGTGCAAAGGCCCCAGGTGGCAGGAGGGTGCCTGGTACCTTCCAGGAACCGCAGAAGGCAGGTGCAGCTGGAGTCCGAGGAAGCCCGGGGTTCGTGTGAGATGATGCTAGAGGGGAAGGTAGGGGCCCGGCAGTTAAGGCCTTGCTGGCTGCATTGATTTCTGTTCTTATCCCAAGATCAAGGGGAAGCCATTCAAGAAATTAAAGTGGGAGTCAAATTTTTATTTATTTCGAAAAGCTTAGTCCAGCCGTATTGTAAGAAATGGATTAGAAGGGATAGAACGGATGTAAGAGAGCGGGCTAGGAAGCCATTGCCTGGTCCCGGCGAGGGCCTGGGCTGGGGCGGTGCGGCTGGCGGAGACGGGCAGCAGCCGTGTCCCTGAGCTGTGCGTGAAGGCGAACACCTGTCTGTGGGGTGGGCAGCAGGGGCCGGGGCTAAGTCCGAGTCCTGGGACTGTTTTCTGAGATGATGAGAGCTGACAGGAGGTCTGGCTGGGCAGAAGGAATCGTGAGGTCAGGGTGGACACTGTGCATGGAGAGCAGTGAAGCTCGGGGCCCGGACGAGCATCTTCAGGGAGAGAATGCCCGTCCGGAGGACCTAAGAATGAGCTTGGAGGACAGTCAGCGTTTGCTAGTTGAGTGGAGGACGCTGAGCTGCAGAGTCAATGAAAGTAAGAGCCAGCAAGACAGGAAGGAGGAAAGCTGGAGGGAGTGGCGCGGTGGCGAGCGCGGGCAGCCGCGTGACGGGCACAGAGGGCTGGAGGCGCTCAGCGCGGGGGGTGGCGGTTCAGGAGCGCCGTGGACACAGAAGCCAGGTGGGAAAGGATGGAGGGAAGAGGGACACGTGACAAAATGGAAATGAGCAGAATGGATTACTGGTTTGTGGCAAAATTTGTGATCAAGAAGACAGAGAGGATGGCGGCCAGAGGCACTGTGGATTGAGGTGGGTGCTGTGTGTGTGTGTCATGTTTGATCACAGAGAGTCTTGGGTA